AATTTCAAGACCAGCCTGGGCTACATAGCTCAGAAAGACAAAAAAAATGATTTGAGCAGCAGTGTCTCATGAAACCTCCTACAATGAAAGGACTGTTAACTCTGCAATGTCCAATGTAGTAGCCACTAGCCAGCCACAGGTGGCTGATGAATACTGTAACTGGAGCTAGGGCAAATGAGAATTTTATCCATTTAATTTTTATTTAAATGTAAACAGTTTTGTGTGGCTAGTGGTTACACTATCGGACAGTACAGGCAGGCCTGTCTCTACATAAACACATACATACATACATACATACATATGTAAACAGAGCTGGGGATGTAGCTCAGTTCAAAGAACCTAGCTTCAACACCCAGTACCAAAACCAGAAAGCTGCAGAAGATGCTGCCTTTCCTGCACTCCCTGCGGCTGTGCTGTACTATTAAAAGGCATATAAAAAGGAACACCCTGACATGAAGAAAGCTGACTGAGCAGCAACAGAAGGCTACAACAACAGAGTGCTGGCCAACTGCCTAGGTGGGGCAGAGGGAGGTGAGGAAATAACATCATAAAATGGCTCAATTTCTGCAAGAAGACACTTGCTCCCAAATGGCAAAGAGCATCTGTCCAACTGTCCAGATGGTACGTTAGTGATAATGCCAAAAATATGAACCTTCAATTATTAAAGAGCTATTAACATCAAGCAAAAATAACTTTAAATTTTAAGTTGAAAAATACGTAAGTAATTGCCAAAAGTTATTTTTTTAAAAAAGATTAATGACAGGTGATCAGGCCTACCAATATTTTAAAAGTATGATAATGGGGCTAGGAATGTAGCTCAGTGGCAAAGCTTGCCTGGAATACCTGCCAAGTCCTGGGTTCAATTCCTAGCACTGCCAAAAAAAAGAAAAAACTGTAACTGTCTTAGTTTTTAAAATTATGGTACTACAATAGATACTGTGAAATGGGATGAAACTTCAAAAGGAAAGAGAAACTGGATAAGAGAATGGTGAAAAAGAGGAAGGGAAAAGCAAATATACACAGTTGAGACAGTTATACTACTAATTTGTCTTAGCTCATTGAAAAGTTTCTGCTAATATTGTTTGGACAATTAAATGCCGCTATCTTGTACTCTGACTAATTTAAAGTAATTTAACAATACATAATGTAGTACCCATTGTTACCCTCCTATTATGTTGTTTTGAAATTTTTTTTTTCTTTTTAAAGTAAAATAAAATTAGGGTACTAGTAAATGACAGGGAGGAAAAAAAACAGAGAAAGACCCAAGCGTATGCAAGAATTCTATTTATAATTACAAAGCCCATTTTGCACAGCTCCCAGTAGAGGTCTCAGATATATGCTGACCATCACACTTGTAGGATTAAGTAGACTATAACCTGAAAGCAGACTCAACACTGCAGGATTATAGGACAGGAAGTACAGTATCCCAACATGGCTGCTTCAGGAATACTGTCTTCACTGAGGCCACCCTGGGCTACACAATGAGTTCAAGGCCAGTCTGAACTACACAGCAAGACCCTGTCTCAAAAAAACAAAAAACAAAAAAGGAAAAAGGAATACTGTGTTCAAAGTGATCCTTAAGATATCCAGGAGTCATTTTCCAGCCCTCCAAATTGTTTGAATGACTGGATATTAGAATATATGTCAATATTTTAAAAATCTCCATAACTCAGTTAGGCAAAACCGGTATCAACCAGTATTCTCCAATGATAAATGTGTATAAAACACAATCATACACAGGGCTTCCAACTATATGGTATTGGAAAAGGCAAAACTATGGAGATAGTAAAAACATCAGTGCCTGCCAGGAGTAAGGAGGGAATGGGCACACACAGATGACTTTTAGGACAATGGAACTATTCTGCAGGATACTCTAATGGTGCAGACGTGTCTTTACGTATTTTTTGTAAGTACACTCAGAATGGACCTTAATGGAAACAATGGAAATTGGATGGTAATGTTCTCAATTATTACAAATGTAAAACTGGTACAGGATGTTGGGGCCCGGGATATGGCTCAGCGGTACAAGTGCCTGCCTGGCAAGCACAAAGTCCTGAGTTCGATTCCTGGTACCAAAAAAAAAAAAAAAAACAAAATTGGTACAGGATGTTGACATTGGAGAAAGCTCTGCATGGAGGAGGAAGGCAGGGAGTATTTGAGAACTGCTATGCTTCCCTTTCAATTCTGTGAATCTAAAAGTGTTTTAAAAAATATCACTTAGCTTAAAAAAAAATCAGCTGGGCTGGGTACAGTGGTGCATGCGTATAACCCCAGGTGCTCAGGAGGCTGAGACAGGGGCCAAGAATGGGACCAGCCTGGGCAACATAGCAAGATACTGTCTCAAAATATAAAAAGGGCTGGGGATAGCTCAGTGCTAGAGTAGCCCTTGGTTCAATCCCAGTACTGCACAAAATAAAAAATAAGATCTATTAATTTTAATACATTATGGGCCAGGGATATAGCTCAGCGGCACAAGCGCCTGCCTGGCAAGCGCATGGTCCTGAGTTCAATTCCTGGTACCAAAAAATAATAATAATAATAATTTTAATACATTTTATTATTGCCTGCTAATTTTACAAAATAGTGGGAAGACATTTTTTTAAAACATATGTGGCCATGTGCAGTGACATATACTTGTAATCCCAGCTACTCAGGAGGCTAAGGCAGGAGGATGACAAATTCAAGAGAGCCTGGGTAACTTAGCAAGACCTGTCTCAAAATCTTTAAAAAGACTGGAATTGTAGCTCAGTGGTAGAGCTTGTGCAGCACAAGGAAGGCCCTAATACTACAAAAAAGAGCAAGCCACAAGTTCAATGATTTTTTAAAAATCCATGCATAATTGGGGGGGGCAGTACTGGGAATTGAATCCAGGCCTTTCTATAATGATAGGTAAGTGATCTACCAGTGAGCTACATCCCAGCATTTTTTTTTTTTGCTGGGCATGGTGGCAGGAGGATTGTTGAGCATTCAAGGCCAACTTGGGCTACAAAGTAAGCTCAAGGACAGCCAGAACTACATTGCAAGACCCCGTCTCAAAAAGACAAAAATTTAAAAAAAAAAATTTTTTTTTGGAAACAGGGTCTTGCTATGTAGTGCTGGCTGGCTCTGCACTTACTTATGTAGCCAAGGTTGGCCTCAAACTCACGCTAATCCTCCTGCCTCAGCTTCCTAAGTGCAGGATTACAAGAGTGTGCCATCACACCTGGCACTTTTTAAAAATTTTATTTTGAAATAGGGTTGCTAAATTGCCCATGCTGGCATCAAATTTTCAATCCTACTGCCTTAGCCTCCCAAAGTACTGGGATCTTAGGAATGTACTATCACTGCCAGTTTATGTGAAGGGTTTTCAATTAAATTTGCATGAGCCTGTGCTTGGTAGTGAATGCCTATAATTACAGCATTCTGGGAGGCCGAGGCAGGAAGATTACATATTCCAGCCCAGCATGGGCAACTTAACAATTCAGCAACACCCTGCCTCAAAATTTAAAAAAATGAAAAAAATAAACAGCTACGAATGTAGTTTAGTGCAAAGACCTTGGGTTCACTCCTCAGTACAGAAAAAAAAATCTTGTATGTATTGTTAGTTGACTTGATATACTATTTTCCTTTTGGAGGCATTATTACAAATAAAAATCAATTCAAAATAAGATAAATATGAGTACACTGGGTTTTGTATCAGGCAAGCTACAAACAAACTGACTTTACAAAAAAATCAACTTTATTAAAAGAGAGAAGCAGCTAAACAGAACCACAAGGGAAAGACAAGCAAAATCATTACCTCCCGCCAAGTCCTTCAATTCGTTCTCTTTCCTTGGGAAGTTCTGGCTTATGGTCCTGTGTCACCTCCACAGCTCTGACAAAATCATCCTTCGGGTCATCTTGAATTCCAAGGACCACCCCTGAGTCACCTACATGAGCTACATACATCTTCATGCCCCGTATGATGACCACACTGGCAGTTGTCCCTGATGTGCTGGGCAGACCTGTCATAGTCTTTGGCCATTCTGCTGCAATGAGAAACAAAATATTTTATTCTTCTAGGTATAAACATTAATACGATATCAAGATACAAAAAGCAATTAGCCTTAATTAGCATATTATTATTATTATTATTTTTGGTCTTTTTGAGACAGGGTCTCACTATGTAGTTCAGGCTGGCCTTGAGCTCACTTTGTAGCCCAACCTGGTATCGAACTTGCAACCGTCTTCCCGCCTCAGCCTCCTGAGTGCTGGG